ATAAGCATAATTTGTACAGGCAAAATTTCAACAGTATGGGCTCAAATATCATTATTTATGGAACAAAGTTCATGACAACTCCCTTCTCTTCCTCATAAGGAGAACAAAGTCCATAATCATAATCTTATTCATGAATTCCCACTTTTCTGACATCCTAGGATTTTCATTGAGAGTCAAGCTATAGTGATCGAATGAATCACTATACCACGACACCTCCACGTCGAGAAAAGATAAACAATGCTGCTTCACACATCTAATCTGAATCAATTATTTATTTTTGATCTGCGTATATCTAGTTATTTATTAATTTATCTATTTATAATTATTTTCATTCATTTTTTGTTTGTGTATAGGGGGGGGGGGTGGCGAGGGGGCTCAAGCGAACTAATGAATTTATCTGCTGCCCTCCTGATCACGAATCGTCATTTATACGGCCTGCTGTAGTTAAAGGCCATCAGTTTCAACAGCACAATTAAGAGAAAAGCGTGTTAAGTTATTATTGAAAATAAAAAATACAATATAGGATCATGATTATTGCTATTGTTATATCCTGGCTCAGGGTTAAAATTGGTTTCACTACCACAGGACGTGATTTTTTTGATGAGTCCTATTCTCGAGACAAATAAATGTTACGAGGTAAATCACAGTGTACATAATAATCATCAAAACAAACACCGAAAAAAGATTTATAATCAAATGTAATTTGATAAAGACATGAATAGGGGTACGATGCGTAGAGGCGGGTATATCCCCCCCCCCCCCCCCCCCCCCTCCCGAGGATACTTAAAGTTCCGATATTAGGGCAACTATCGCCTGGTATTCGGGCAGTGAAGTGCGTTTTTATGACGAATTCAGTTTTTGTCTGCTATCTCGCTTTATAGGCTCGCAAAATGTTGAAACAGGATGGTGGCATGATATGCGGGCAAAAGTATGAAGGTAACACGTACGCCTAACAATTCGTATTACCATATATGTAATGCCAGATTTTTGTAATGTTGTTTCCAGCCTATTGTCACGAGAAGATCTGGGATTCACTCTCGGCGCGACTCGGTAGCGTGACTTTTTCCTCTGATTCACGATTTACTCTCAAACTGACAAGTAGTTCTAAAGCTGCTCAACATGAAATTATTATTGAATTTAGATCTTCGATCAGCATAAACATTAAAATGTGTACCAGAAACGTCTGCATTTTACAGAAATCAGAAATTAAAAGTATGGTAATGCGATCATAATTCGCGCTCGACCTTAATTCGACCTTAAACAAAAACAAAACAAAAAATAGAAAATCGGATACCACCACCACCAAACGTAAAAGGAACCTTAGACTATTCAGGGGTTATGCAATTATCTCTTATTTGATGATTTTTTTTGGGATAAATCAGCTCTAAACTTCCCGTGCGCGAATTAAGGTCTCGTTTTTTCGTAATTTTCGTTCCCGCCCCCGCCCCCACTCTGGGGTCAGAGGGACCGCTTTCGTGTTCCCAAAATATCCGGTAAAGGGGTACAACAAAATTCGGTCCGTATTGACTTTACACACCAGAGATACGGGGTGCTTTCAAAGGGAGGGAACATGCATACGCGTAACCTAAATAACACTGAGTGGGGGGGGGGGGGGGTCGTCAGTTGCAACACATGCCGATCCGACATTGAATTTTGAGATCGCGATATCTCCCTTATTCTTTTTCGATACATGTTCTATAGATGCACCAATTTATATTAAAAGCCTTAGCCGTCTATTTGGTATACTCAACTTAATAAATTCGTGTAGAATATGAGAAATCATGGATCAAATCACGTTTCCTAATACTATTTTTTAAAAGTGTATTTATTTTTGTGAATACATGTTGAAAAGACGGTTCTGAAGGTTAAAGGTAATTTAATCCTACACTTTAATAATTATCATAGCATTTATGGTTCTATCGTTATTCGTATAGCGTAATATAAATGCATTTAATTCTTCTTCTTATTTTATTGAACATTAATTTTTCCTTACTATAGGATAAATTATATTTTTCAGTTCTATAGCAAATTAATATCAATAAAACAATATTCCATAACATGCAAAAACAGGCAAACAAATGTTAACTAATTCCTTGAACTTTAGATTAATTGAACACAATATAATTACAATGTGATCTTGTATATAATACCCAAATGATTGAAACAAAGGAATATTATTTTTGTTTATGATGAGTGCATTCATCATTTATTTATGAAATGACATTTCATTTGTATAGGACAAGTACCAAGTACATGAAATCGCACAGATAAAAGAAGTCTCAAATCTTTCTATGAACTGTTTCTTAACTTCTTTCCAGGTGCATATACTTATAGAAAATGCAAGAGGAAAGAGCAAATTATCTATTTCCAGAAATCAAGTATGACAAAGAATCTAACGTGTACATTTTATTTGTTCGTGACCCAACTCTCTCTCTCTCTCTATCCATGATTCTCTGTTTTAATGTTAGGAAGACAATTTATACATATATATATACTGTTATGTGCGTCATTGTCCTTAAATTCTTCGTCCTGTGATAGCGTATTTACAAACTACGGTACTGACTTATGCTATGGTCACATTACCCAAAAGTAGCCTGCTCGGCGGCCGAGCGGCGAGTTTTTAGCCAATTTTGCCCGGCCACCGAGCGGCGACCGCCCAGGCACCGCTCGTTTTTAAGGCATCGCTCGGTCGCTGCTGAAGTTTTAGCGCGGAGTTAAAATTCGGGCGGCGCCTGCTCACTTTCACTCGCCGCCCAGACTACGCTCGGTGACCGGGCGGTCGCCACCCGAGCGCCGACCTAATCGAGCGTTCACCGTCGAGCGATTTAGGTCGAAAATCGAAGACGCTAGGTCAAAGGCTGTCGAGCAGTCGCCGCCCGGTCGCCGCTGGGAGATCAGTCGGTCACTGGGCGGCGAGTCCAAAATCGGTCGGCAGCCTTTGACCTAGCGGCTTCGATTTTTGAATTAAATCGCTCGGCGGCGAACGCTCGATTAGTTCGGTGCCCGGGCGGCGAACGGCCGGGCACCGAGCGTATTTTGGAGCCCCGCCGATCACTGGCCGGCCGCAGTGCAGTATCTTTAAAATCAGCCGGCGGCCGGTGGGAGACTGCTCGGCAATCGGTGGGTCACCGGTCGGTCACAGCCGGGACACCGCGCGGAAAAGCTCCGCGATTTCGCCCAGTTTTGACCTAAAATCGACCGGCGACCGACGGGAAATCGACAGGTCACCGCCCAGGCATCGCTGGGGCTCTACAGCCTGCTCGACTTCTCCAAAAATCGCTGGGTGATGCCTAAATTCCAGCGGCGACCGAGCAGGCTACTAATCGGTCGGTCGCCGCTCTGATTTGTGACCATAGCTTTACTAAGCGAAAGATATAGCGCTAATCTATATGGTAATGCTACAAACTAAATTTTTATGTTCAAGAATGAGATGATACATGAAAACTAATTTTGTTTCGTTTCGTATTTGAATAGTACTAATACACTTACATTCAAAAACTGTTTAAAAAACAACATGTATTTTTAGGCATAGAAACAAGAGAAACACAGCGAATAGTCTCGAGCATTAATTACACACTTTCATCTGTACACATATCAGTACTACTTTCCTATGAACCGTGATATATATTTCGAAAATATTTTCTTAACATGTAGTTTGTTTATATGTTTTGTTCCAAGCAATCTTCTCCCACATAATGTACATTCAAATTATTTCGATCAGTTCCTCGAAATCCATTTCGAATACTTACTCGAAATAGCTTTTGTTAAATAATATATTAAATCATTGTTGAGTAGTACTTTGTGAACCTTTCGTTCATCTGCTGATATTGGACAAATGTGTAGAATCTGATAAATATCATAATCGTAAAATAAAACATAATGCATGAATTAAACTTTATAACACACTCTTTAGGCATGTAGCAAAAAATAAATCGAAATATATTGTAACCTATCTTTGGTCAGGCAGCACTGAGAAAACGTGTGACTGATCACTTAGCTTGAGAAAGTCCACAGGAGTGAACGAAAGCTTGCTCACAAAATTGAAGGTTGGTAGAAGCTTTAAAAACTACATTATATATTGTAAACAGTTCGCACAAAAAAGAATATCAAAATTTTCCTTTTATTTCAGTTTCGGATTATGGAGGGGATTTTGTTGGCAAAGCGTATTTACAGTGGCGGTATCTTAAGACCTTGGCGTCAGGGAGTGGGCAGGGTGCAAAACGTCCGGGCCGAACGTGATTCCAACAAAAATCATTTTTTCAATAGCACTCTTTTGGTGTGCACAACGAAAGCCTTTGTATGGTGACATTTAACTGCCATTTATACCAGAATTATCGCGAATTTAGTGGGATTTTTTTCTTCTCGGAAATGTCCCTAAAAATTGCATTAAAAAATTCATGAAATTTTCCCAAAAATGACTTGGGACGAATTCACGTCGTGAAATCAATTTACATCTCTCTTTTTTTAATTCAACTGTACCAGGCGGTCGTTAGAGCTACACTGATATCCGTTCACCGGCCATTGAGTTACGTACATGCATATAAAATGGTTAGCTGGGTGAACTTCTGCTAGATGGGAGAGATGGGAATTTCTTCTGCAACCCATGATGTAACAGTTCGCAAATCTATCCAAAAACTTTCGCGGAAGAAAAACAAAATCGCAAAAATGTCCATAAATTCGGATAAAAAGTGCCCCCAAACAGGGGCGGCAATTTGTTTCATGACCGGGGATGGGGCAAAACGTGAGGGACGAGGGAGCATAGTGTAAACTGTGTTTACGTGATACTAACGGAATACATATATTTTACAGTATTCTCTAGTACATTTTAAAGGATATTATGCGAGGGAGCGTAGCGACCGAGCGAGAAGATTTTTGCATTCCTGGGCCCTCAAGAGCCTAAAAGTTTGTTGCAGTCTTTAGTCAGTATTTGCTACACATTTTTTTTTGCACTTTTTCGGGGGGGGGGGGACGATCCCCCTAAAAAAATGAGGGGGGGCGTGTCCCCCGGGATCGCCGCCCCTGCCCCCATACCTTTGGGCCATGAGGTCAGGTAAAAAGATTACTCGTTTCTGATTCCCCCAAAAGCTATACAATCACATAATTATCCACATTATAATTCTGAATTTTTCCTCTTGTAATTTTCACGAAGTTGTTTGTAAAGAATGACATTGACTTTCTCTGCCACGTTCTTACAACCTTTCACAGCGAACACTTTCGGACCTGGCGGCCCAAAAAATTCGAGCTGTGCCAGGACTTCGTCTTCTTCTACCCTAAGAGGCAGTCGGCCAATCTTTAAGAACTCTGCACTGATGCACTTACTTACATGATTTTTTTCAAGCGGAAGGAAGGGAACAAAGTGGCTGATGAGGTGAGAATTGATGATCTTGGCATTGTACAGACCGGTATCTACAATATATAATAAAACATTGAATTTTAGGGCTCATTGACATCTGGGAGGATACGAAATGGATTGGGTAAAATTTAAACCACTGGGCTAAAAGGAAACATACTATGGTCGATGATGTTGATAAAGTGTAAATGTGGGTAAATTTTACCCACTCATTAATGATACATTTGGCCTGATATTAGTCCATTTTTTAATTTTTTAATTTTTTTTAATTTTTTTTTTTAGCAGATGTTTCTGCATTTATTGATAAATCAAATGTAAAACATTCAAATAACAATAATAGTATATAATATAATTGATTTACATCAAGAGTGACAACTTAATACACACAAAATAAAATATTAAAAAAATGCATAATTGAAAGCTTGAAAGTATGGAGGTAAGTATAAATAATCAAGATAAATGCAGAGGCCAACTATCATAAGCAAGGAAGCTTGAGTCGATAGCAGCCTCCAGCAGATTCCAGTGCAGATTCTTCGATCATCTATGTACGCCTCCCTTAGTCGCACGACCCCCGAAAATAAACAGTGACTGTCACATGTACATTGCGTAATTCAAAATAGAATTCTATAGTCACTACAGTAGGATATTGAAACTGCTCTTGAGTTGATTTCACGAAAGTCTTTCCAATCGTGCTGTAATTATACAGTGCGTCCCAGAAAAAACGAAACCGATAATGATCGATGTTTTATCATAACTTAATCACATGCATGAAGTCTTTCGTTTATGGCTGATTGTCAACGAAATGGAGCTAAGTTTTTTGTCAACTTTGTTTGTTGCTACGGCAGGCACCCAGTGAAAAAGAATTCATTTGATAAAATTATGGAAATTCAAGCACTACTTTAAACAAACGGAAATTTGTCATTCCTTGCTCATTTTTCTTGATTGAGGTGTCATATGAAAGGGCAGAACCTCAACTTTCTAGAAATGTGATTTTCTCTTTGAAATTCAGATACCGTCCGCCAAATGACTTTTTGGTTTTCTCTCTTCTAATTCATTTTAATCACTCATGCGTTTATATGTGTCATTTAGTAATTATAAATGTGACTAAGTTATGATAAAACATCGATAATTCTCGGTTTCGTTTGTTCTGGGACGCACTGTATTACAGGAAATTGAAAACTGTGTTATTATCTTTAAATGTATTACGTTAAAGTTCGTTAAATGAAAAAGGATTATAGTACAATTGCCAAATATTAATTTCACAATTCACAATTTCAAAAGACAATTTCAAAAGATAATAACATGCAGATGAATACAGAAACTTACACTTCATTAATATTTTGTCTGGTAGATTGGGTAAAAGAACAGGGAATGACATCATAAACTAAATTCACATATCGTATAACTATTAGGGCTTTCTGTTTTCGCTATGGGGTTCTCATAAAATAAAAAATGAATTAATGAAACACAATTCACTAACTTGCTTTGGAAACGACGTCTTTTCTGATGACTTCCTCCATTTCTTTTAAGGTGATATCCTCCCTGGCTCTTCCCTTGTTATACTGATCTAGAACATAACTGGTGATTGCCGACGCAGCTAGGTTGCTGTGTTGGAGATAAATGAGCTAGAGTTTAGGACAATGTTGTACGTTGAAAATGATTATAGTAATAATGATGAAATAATAATGACAATGATAATAATGACAGTAAAATAGTTAAAAAAAAATAATCACAATAATAATGATGATGATGATAATAATAATAATAACAAAAGTAATGACAAAAATAACAATGATAATAATAATAATAATAATAATAATTCCAATACTTCTTCTACTACTACTACTACTACTACTACTACTACTACTGCAACTAATAATAAAAATAATGCTAATAATAGTAAACAAATATACCATGCACTGAGGGGCTCTAGTTGAAATTATGGATCGAGGTGGCAGGAATAGCACTATTTCTGTCGCCGAGGAATCCATAATTTCACTAGTGGCTTGGAATAGTGCATGATATATTTGTTTTATATCTTTCAAACGTACCTTCCTAAAAATAATAATAATAATAACAATAATAGTACTGTCACTGTAGAGTGCAGTGAGAACAGCGCAGACGACCGTACCTCGAACGCGACTAGGCCGACACCTATATCACATTGATCTTGATCGATCGCATATCTATGACGTCATCCATGGTATAGTGCACTATACCATGAATGACGTCACGGTATTGCACATTTTTCTCATCGGTAACATTATAGCAATGTTTTGTTTGGTCACACGATGCTATATGTTAACCAATCACTGATCACAGGATTTCATTGATCAAAAATCTAATAAGATATAAATGATATAGAAATAATACGCGCCCTGACTTGTACCTCCGAAATATAAAGATGGATCTCCGATAATTGATGCCTTCTACGCTGTGGTGGTTGTCCATGAACATCTTGATACTGTCTAGCAAACCTGGAGGCATGCGCTCTATTTCATCAAATATAAAGACGGGTAAAAGACAACAAGAAGAAACCTTGGAGGTTACCAGCTTTTCCAGTTCTCTCTGCGAAGAGCAAAGAGAAAAAATATACAGTATGGACGTGTGACCATAGTTAGCGCCACCAATGGAAAGAGGAACATAAAATTACCCAGAAACGAAATTTTATTTGGAATTGGGTGCGAAATTGTGAAAATATTGACAAAAGATGGGCAAATTTTTCAGTCCGATTTGCGTCCGTTCCGAACTTAAAAATGTTCAACTAACCGATAAGGGTCTGGAAATCTTCGTTTTCAGAGCAGGGGCCCGTCTTACAAAGAGTTGATATCAATCGCAACTATGTACATTAGAGATAGGACTCCTGCAAACTTGCGATTGATTGGAGGACTTGCAATTGATTTGGATCAATCGTAACTCTTTGTAAGACGGGGCCCAGATATCCTCAAAATTGTAAGTAAAAAGTGGTACCAACTGATTGTATACTATCTTGCTTAGCAAATTATGATATTACCTTATTTTTTATGGATCGCATTTTTGGATAAATCAGCTGTAAACCCCCGTGCGCGAAGTAAGCTCTCGTTGTTTTTATGACCGTTGCAGCGCCCACGCCGATCCGAAATCGAATTTTTAGATCGCGATATCTCCGGAATCCTTTGACTATAATGTTTTTAAGTTGAACCAATTTGTAGTAAAAAACTTTGCAGTCCAATTAAAATAAATAAATTTGTGTAGAATATGAGAATTCATGGATCGAATATCACATTTTATGATATTGTCAAAATCTCCGCGAACTTTGGTCACCCCATTTGGATTCAAATTAGAACAATATAGGCCTACAGGATGAAAATAATCAGGTTTCATGAAGTTACTGATGAAGTTTAATGAGGGTGCATCCTCGCCTCCCCCCTCCCTCTCTCTCTCTTTCTCGCTCTTTCAATATCACTTTCCCTCTAGCTCCCCCTCTCTTTTTTCCTTTCTTCACAGCCAAATTCTAGAATGATCTTAACTGCTCCTTTTCTTACATGTTACAAGATTTTTGTAAAATTCTAGCCTTTAAACTGTAACACTTTTTTAGGACTGATTAAGTCAATACGTGGATACACCTTGGCCTTCAAAAAAAAAACAATACACCCTTTCACGGTTACAAGAGTGCGCATGCGCTGACATTGACGCCGTTTTAAATACACCGGTTTACGGTTGTATCAGTGCGCATGCGCAGACAGTTGACCTCGGGTCATTGGCTTTGAAACAAAGCCAATGACCCGAGGTCAGTGGTATTTATGCGTAAATTAAGATTGCGCCTTTGCAAATGATGATGTGCGCGCACAACGCAGCGCGTAGGCAGTGATGTCTTCATAATTTGCATGGGCGCAATCTTAATTTACGCATAAATACATGACCTCTAGGTCATTGGCTTTGTTTAAAATGGCGCACACAACCGTAAACTGGTGTATTACGAGTATAGTATACAGGGGGGTTCAACTCCGCTTCTGCATCCGTCTAGCCATGGGGAAATTTGGTGGGTCAAAAGTGCACACTGCTTCCACTTATCGTGTATTAGCCTATGAAGACGACAAATTTTTAGTGCACCAGCGAATTGGGGATTTTGGACTGCGCGCAGCGCGTAAAATATGTAAATTACGGAGGACATACTGTGTATGATCGAATCTCTTTGATAGTATACACCTGTTTACGGTTATGGGCGCCATTTTAATTTACGGGCAAACAAACCATTGACCTCTAGAGGTCAGTGGTTTACGCGTATATAGCGCCCATGTAAATATGATGTGAGCGCACATGCAGCGCAGGCAGTGTCATCAATGTTTTCAGGTGCGCATACAGTTGCGTCTTTGCCTGCGCTCGCATCTAATTTGCATGGGCGCTTTCTTAATTAACGCGTAAGCCACTGACTTCCAGGGGGGTGTTTCACAAAGATTCTAAGAACTTAACTCTAAGTTGAACTTAAAAGTTATGGAGAGCCATTTGTAGCCTTGAAATAAAATATATTCAAAAGCGAAAAATCAAGTATTTTAGACTTTTCATAAATTCCACATCAAGAACATGAAATCTCCCATGATAATAGAAAATACGAATGATTTGAATCAAAATTTTATGCCTTTTAAAATAACTTTTACAAAATATTTTCAAGGAAGCTAATGGCTTTCCATAACTTTTAAGTCCAACTTAGAGATAAGTTCGACTTCGGATCTTTGTGAAACACCTCCCAGGGGGTGTTTTATATAGATGTTCGTAGGTTACGCACAACTTTACGCACGACTGGAACATGTTCTTGGGTGCTAATCAGATTCTCAATCATTTACATGTAGCACAAGAACATATCACCAGTCGTGCGTAAAGTCGTGCGTAACTTATACGAACAGCTTTATGAAACACCCCCCAGAGGTCATTGGTTTGTTTACCCGTATATTAAAATGGCGCCCATGTCTGCGCATGCGCACTGTTCTAACCGTAAACTGGTGTATTAACAAAGTTGTTTACTCGTAATTTAAAATGGCACCCATTTCAATATGATGTGAGCGCACAGCGAAGGCAGTGACGCAAAAGTACATGCGCATCTGAAAACATTGACGACGCAATGTTTACTCGCAAATCAAAATGGCGGCTTTGACCGTGAAAGGGTGTGTTCAAATTCTTTTATGGTACCTTGTAATCCTCAATTAGTTCCATATGAGGGTAGTCCTTGGTTGATATCTTGACAGTCACAAAGCTGCTACTCATTCCACGTGTGAGAATACTGTCAACTAGGAGTCGAGTGATGTGGTTCTTACCGGTTCCAGCCGGTCCATGCAGGGATAAAACAAGAGGCTTCTCTGTGTCGATTAGGTCGTACAGATGACCATGAATGGCACCATAGATTGTGTCGCGGGCTAAATGCTGACCAAATAGATTGTCATCTAAAGCCTTAGCAAATTCTGTAAAAACAGTGTACAAACGGTTTATGCAAACATGGAATGCTTTCACCGGCTAAATAATTATGTAGGCAATGAAAGAAATTAAGAGAGACGGTCATAGAGTTATGCAAAGTCTGAAATAAAATGTAACTTTTAATCAAAATGTCTAGCTGTTATTTTAAATGAATAAAGTAGCCTCCAGCGCTCAAAATACACAAGGGCGATGGGCGATTCGCCCCCGTGAACTCCGTAATCGCCCCCGTCAGCTAGGTTAATGCTCACGGGGGCGATTGCAAAATAAAAAATCGCCACCGTGGAATTATAAAATAAAGATTATCCTTTCTGATATAACTTTAAGTTTAACACAATATTGAGTATGAATTTTCAAACCTTAAACCAATGAAATGGAACTTAAATGGCGCTTTCTCTCCCATCTCTATGAGTATTACCGATACAAACAATGGAAGCTCGCAGTGCAGCTGCGGCCGTCAGCAGAGGCTATACTGCGCCGGTGGTACCGCTGTGCACGCTGAAGCCCAATATCTGCTGGAAACGATCGCGCAAGGACTGAAAGATGGAGAAGTTTTTCGTTATGAAAAGTGTGAATCCTCTGAAATCTGGTTATTCTAAAAGACCAGCAAATAATGTAACTCGACCAGGAAATCAATATTGAGAAGAAGATCACCAAAGATGTTGCAGGGGCGGATCTAGCCGGTTTAGAGGGTTTAACCTCCCCCCCCCCCCCCCCCCCCCTCCCAGAAGGAAAAACCAGTTGAACCAGTTAAAGCCAACTGGTAACCCTGGAAATTGAAATGGGCCAGTTGAACCAGACCAGTTGAATTATAACTGGACCAGTTAGAATTTGAACAGTTGAAATCCAACTGGACCAGTTAGAATTCAACTGGTCAGATTCTAACTGGTCTGGTCTAGTTGGAATTCAACTGGTCAAATTCTAACTGGTCCAGTTGGAATTCAACTGGTCAGATTCTAACTGGTCCAGTTAGAATTCAACTGGCCCATTTCAATTTCCAGGGTTACCAGTTGGATTTAACTGGTCTAACTGGACCATTCATATACCAATTGAAAACTTAATTAGTAATTAAAGGCATAAGTAGCACTTAATGTACTAATTCATTTTGCCAATTGGCAACAACCCAGTATAACTAGATCGTCTGCAATTTCCAATCTAAAGGCATTGGGAATAAGTAAACTTGTTAACTAAGTATTTTGGATATACTTGTATTTTATCGAATCTATTTTAGTTCATAGTTAATGTTTTCCCTAATTCATGTTTAATTAAATGTTATTTACACGAAGTAATGAAATGTCCGGAATATGCTATAAATTCAGATAAATTGTATTGAAACATAGATGTGCACGCACTGTATCCATTATGCAAATTAGCTGGTGTCAACTGGAAATATGCACACGGACCAGTTGAGTTCTAACTGGTCCAGTTGGAATTCAACTGGTCAAATTCTAACTGGTCCAGTTGGAATTCAACGGGTCAAATTCTAACTGGTCCAGTTGGAATTCAACTGGTCAAATTCTAACTGGTCCAGTTGGAATTCAACTGGTCAAATTCTAACTGGTCCAGTTGGAAGTAACAGACCAGTTATCAACTGGAAATATGCCCACGGACCGAGTTATCAACTGGTGCAACTGGGAATATGCCCACAGACCCGTTATCAACTGGTGCAGCTGGAAATATGCCCACAGACCAGTTATCAACTGGCGCAACTGGAAATATGCCCACAAACCAGTTACCAACTGGCGCAACTGGCAATATGCCATGCACAGACCAGTTATCAACTGGTGCGACTGGAAGTATGCAAACAGACCAGTTAATAGTTATCAACTGGTGTAACTGGCCATTATAAGGACTGGTTCCAGTTAAATCAAATGCAGTCGCTCCAAATATCCGCTTGATGTGCATCATGGAACAGTTAGAATCAACTGAAACCAGTTGAATTTAACTGGTTCCAGTTGAAGTTAACTGGAACCAGTTGAAGTTAACTGGAACCAGTTGGAAATTTCAACTGGTGGTAACTGGTTTTTCCTTCTGGGCTCCCCCTTTGGGCTGCCAAGTGAAAATGTGATGTGCATAGAAAAATGCTACCATGTGTCAAGACCTACACAGTATTAGTAGATGTCAGTAGATGCCAGGAAAACATCACTAACCGGGGTTCAAAATAGCACCAAAAAATTGGCTCGTGGACGATGCTTAGCATGTTAGTAGATGCCATGAAATCATCACTAACGGGGTTACCAGCCCCCCCCCCCCAACCTTAGCAAAAAGCTAAATTCGCCCCTGTGTTTTGGAAGGATATAGTAAAGTCTAAAAGTAAAGAAAGAATGTAAATAAGGTTGCTCCGAATAATGAGGAGGACATTATGTGCAGAACGGGAAGAAATGGAGAGAATGTCATCATGGGGATAAAAGTCAACAACAGCCATGTAACAAGTAAATTTCTAAGAGGGAAAATGCCGACTTAAATGAATGATAATGATAAAATACCAAGGAATTTAGGAGTTTCATGGGAACCAATTCAATGGAAATTTGTATTAAAATAAGAGCCCCCGTCAGCACTAAAAGAGCCCCCATGAGAAGGCTCACGGGGTTTTTTTTTTGGAAGAGCCCCAGTGGACAACAAATTAATTTGAGCCCTGTCTGTGACTGTACATAAAGTATGGTATTTCTTAGACAGCATCCTATTGGCTAGAAAGCTATCGCGTGACGCTCAAAATTTAATAAAATAAATAATAATAATTTGATTTTTATAGCGCCTTTTCCAAAGCAAAGGTTACAAGGCGCTGCTCTCTTAGACTTTCAACAATTTAAGAGGAGTTGTACAGGTAAGTTTTCAGTTATTTTTTGAAGAAATCTAGTGAAGTACTGTTTCTTAAGAAAGAGGGGAATTTGTTCAAGAGACGTGGGGCTAAGGACTGAAAGGATTTGAAACCAGCCTGTTTACGGGATTTGGGAATGACAAAGGTAGGAGCTGATGAAGACCTAAGAAAATAGGATGTTCTCTGTTGCTGAAAGAGTGAGGAAATGTATACAGGAAGGGTGGTCGACATAGATTAGAAAGTTTGAACAAGTATCCGGTGTTGTATTCCTTATAACTGGGAGCCCGTGTAGTTCCCGCAACATAATTTTATATTCGACATAAAAGAATTCCCGTGCAGGGTCTGGTCATGGATAGCTCACGTGATGTAAAGTTTTTTCCACCATCTTGTGAGGGCAATATACGTGGTACTCCCGAAAGTTAAGCCAGTCAATATTGTTATTGTTATCCAAATCAGACATTTAGAGCAAGTACATAATGTAGATCAACCATGACAGATCTCAAAGAACTGAAAAAATTCTTTGTCAAACCAGGGGGGTGTTTCACAAAGATCCTAAGTCCAACTTAACTCTAAGTTGGACTTAAATATTATGGAGAGCCTTTGTAACCTTAAAATAAAATATATTAAAAAGCAAAAATTTAAGTATTTTAGACTTCTCATTCATTCCACATCAAGAACATGTCATCTCCTTGATAACAGAACATTATATATGATTTGAATCAGTATTTTATGCCTTTTAAAATAACTTTTACAAAATATTTTCAAAGATGCTAATGGCTTTCCATAACTTTTAAGTCCAACTTAGAGTTAAGTTCTACTTAGGATCTTTGTGAAACACTCCCCAGCACTGCATCCACTGCTTGACTAAATTTTTGATACACTGGAACCAGTGTGCCAATGGTGTGAGTATTACATCACAATAGATCTGTGCGCGCAAAGTGCGCAGGTGCTCGTCAACAAAACAACTGCAAATTGTATGGTACTTGGTGAATTGGGGAGGCTTAAACTTGAGAAATATATCGAAAGCAGAATGATAAACTTCTGGTGTAGGATTGTACATAGTGGACAGGATAAATTTTCTGGTAAGGTGTATATTATCTTAAAATTACTCTTTGAGAAGAATATATATCAGGCACCTTGGTTAAAAAAAAATCAAGCTGACTCTGGACAATATGGGGATGTCTAATTTATGGGAAATTTGTGAAAATACTAGCTATGAGTGGGTCAAACAAACTGTGGAACGTCGATTGAGAGATTCTCATGCTCAGTATTGGTCTGCTTGTATGTATGATAATTCGCATTGTGTTAACTATCGAATCTTCAAACATTCTTTATGTTTAGAAAGATACTTAATCGATCTCATTAAAAGAGATCGGACAATATTAAGTCGTTTTCGCTGTGGCAATCATTACCTGCCGATTGTAGCTGGTAGATATTCAAATACTCAGGGAAATGAGGCTATGTACGCTGTGCAATTTGCAATCGCTTGGGGATGAGTTTCATTACTTGTTTGTATGCCCTACCTTCCGTTCAGAAAGAAAATTGTTCATCGATAAATATTTTATTGAAAGACCGAATACACTGAAAATGGATCAGCTTTTTAACTCCAATAATGTACAAACACGTTTAAACTTAGTAAAATTCTGTCGAAAAAAAATGCTTCGTTTTCATTAATTTAAGTATGTGCAAAAACATGTTATGAGTTCAAAATTAACTTTATGTTTCTCTTTTTTGTCTTATATCAATTAAATTGATATCAAGAATATTTTCAGTAATTCATTAATTCAGATATCAATTTACTGGTGCCAGTAAATTTCTTTTTTCAATTGCTTCCATTAATTTCGTCATTAATTATCGTTTTAATTAATATTATCCTTTTGTTTTTGATTATTATTATTATTATCATCATCAATATTGTTATCATTATCATCATAATTTTTCTCACTATTGTCGATAGTGTTATTTTGTATGGATTAACATTAATTCTATTTGTATTGTATATTTCACAGTGTTTAATTGACAAATTCAAACTGATTGTAAACTTCTCCAATACCCCAATGTGGGTGACATGAGAATAAATTGTCATTGTCATTGTCATTGTCATTGTACGCATAATAGATGCTCAATGAAAATGACAAAATACGGCGCTGTCAA